TTGGGAAGGCTTATGATTTCATTCTGAAAATATTTATGCCTTGTATTACAGTCCTATATAGAATATAAGGTAAGAAAACATTAAAAATCAGATGCCTAGAGAAAGCATAGAAAATTTTCAAGGGCGTTTTATAACTAAGATGATCATGTGACTTAGAGAAACATGGAGGAATTTAGTAGATAAGGGGAAAAACATTAATGCTGGAGTTAGTCTAAACTTGTTTCAGAGTTGTCAGGTTAGCTGTTCTAGTGAAACTAAAAATCACAAAGCAAAGATGTACAAGAAGGTTAAAAGAAAACATCCTGAAGGGAAACATAAGCAGTATAAAATTAAATGGAAAAAAGATGGAACTGGATGAAGATGTGATTTGCCATCTATGGAAGTATCAGTGGGAAACATAAGAATAAAGAACACTTGGGAGGAAAACACCTGAAGTGGAAACATAGAATGGAAGATTTTTTAATGGAGGTAGATGTGTGACTACAAGAATACCTTTTCATTGACAAAATTCAAAATTATTGCTTGCAGTCAGATTAGTATAAAAGATGCAAGGTTGTGCATGTTTGAAGTCTTTTAATGGGAATAAACTCATTGTGGTTGTTACTAGTTGATGGAGTTGGGGAGTGGACAGTAGGCATGATGGTGAACGCTGTATTTTCTTGTAAAGAAGAAGGCAGGAGACATATATATATATATAACATTTTTTAATTGCAAACCCAAAAGTTCCAAGGAGGTCAATATCCATTCCCCCCCCCTTAAAGTTGGGGGGCAAGATGTGTTACAGGAATGATTTTTTTGGTTGTTGTGTTTTTTTCTGGGTTTTGGTTTTGTTGTGTGGGGTTTTTTTTAATTATTATTATTTTGGGCTTCCCCTCACCGAGGTCCATCTGTAGTTGATGATGAAGATGGACCTAAGGGAAGGACCTAAATATCTCAAGTTCTATTCAGCATGCTACCCAGTAGGCAGCATTGTCTCTACATAGAAGCCTGTGTAGACTGTAGTGGTAATCTGTGCTTGAAACCTTCAAGTTCTGGGTTGTGATGGAGTAACAAACCAAGTAGACTCTCCTAGGTGCCAGAGATAGCTTGGACAGCTGATGAAATTAGTGTACAGTTGTATAACTCTGTAAGAATACTTGCCATGTAAGTCAAATACACCAGAATTTAAGAGTGTGGGGGTGGTGGCTTCTATGACAAGAGAAGCTGCCCCCATGTAGGATAGAGCCAGTTCCAGCTGCTCTAAGGACAGACCTGCCCCTGGCCAAAGCTGAACCAATCAGCAGTGCCAGTGGTGCCTCTGTGATAACATATTTAAGAAAGGGTAAAAACAGTGTGCAGCTGTGAGAGAAGAGCGAGAAAAGCATGAGAGAAACAACCCTGCAGACACCAAGGTTATCTGAGAAGGAGGGGGAGATGAGGTCCTCCAGGCTCTGGAGCAGAGGTTCCCCTGCAGCTCATGGAGGACCACATCAGAGCAGAAATCCACACTGCAGCCTATGGAGGACCACACACTGGAGCAGACTCCTGGCAAGAAATGTGGCATGTGGCAAAGAGCCTATGTAGGAGCAGTGTTTTTTCTGGCAGGATCTGTGGCCCACAGGGGACCCATGCTGGAGCAGTCTGTTTCTGGAGGACTGTACACTGTGGAAAAGGACCCATATTGGAGCAGTTTGTGAAGGACTGAATCCTGTGAAAGGGACCCCACAGTGGAGCAGGGGATGACTGTGAGGAGGAATTAGCATCAGAGATTGTGTGTTATAAACTTGAACTCCCCATTCCCCATCCCTCTGTGCTGCTTGGGGCAAAGGAGGTACAAGAATCATGAGTGAAGTTGAGCCTTGTGAGAAGAGGAAGGTGAAGGAGGAGTGTGTTTTTAGTTTTGTATTTGTTCCATACCATCCTATTCTGGTTTTAATCAGCAATAAATTAGGTTAATTTTCCCCATGTAAGAGTCAATTTTGCTCATGACAATAACTGATAAGCTATCTCCCTGCCTTTATCTTGACCCACAAGATTTTCCATCTTATTTCTTCCTTGTGTCCTGTTGAGGAGGG